TTGGTAACAGCGGATGTTGTCGCCATCCAAAGGTGACTTATTAACAGCAGGTGGGGGATAAGGTGACATGGTTTTCTGGTAATAGTGGGTAAGGTAGTCAATCATCGATGTCTGGTAGCAGCGGTCGAGAGTAAGACGATAAGGATGACTGATATTAGTGGGGATAGGTGAAGGAGACATGGTTACCTGACAATAATGGGTAAATTAACCAATCCAGGGTGTCTGGGTTTGGTGGCCAGCCATGGTTCTCTGGCAACAGTAGGTGAAGAGGTGAGGGTACAGGGGTGTGTGGCAACAGTGTCGGGGCCGCCTTGTGTCATGCTGGTGCACGGGGACTGGCCAGTAACGATTTCTGGTCATGCTCCCAGCTGACCGTCAGCCGCTCACTAAACTCCACGCTCTGTCAGCAACAAGCAGGGATACCAGTGACGTCACGAAGAGCTATGACGTCACTCCTAATCCAAAGTCAGCAACAGCATCAGTAGTTGGGTATGACTGAGCGCGGTCTTACAACTTCCATGTTAGGTACGTCCACCTTCAGCGGCCCGCAGCGGTTCACCTTTAACATGGTTTCCTCAATAAGGGCAGAGTTCTTTGAATAATATGAATCACTGATGCATTGCCTTTCAGAGTGAATATCAGAGAAGTTGCCTCCATTTGCCTTTACCTTCAGATTGCACCCGGGAAAGGTAGGAGACATTTAGTTGTAGACTGTAAAAACATTTTCGTTTTTTCACGATTTTCATTTATTGCTGTATTTAATGGTGCATCTGTTGGTGTAAACTTAACTAAAACACCGGCGTCCATAAAAATGCCGAAAATCGTGGAAGAACCAGACATATGAGTTCCATTAACTTGTGGTGTGAATGGCCTTATATACAGGACGCTAAACCGGCCGTTCTTTATCATGCTCGTGGACAACAGGTATCTATTGGCGAAACGGCGGCGTCTGTTCTCTCAATAAGGATAGACGAGAGCGATAATTTTTATGTTTCCGTCACAACTTATAGTTTTTCGCCCTTATGCACCGCGTTTGTCTCTGGCCAACGAAGCTGACGCCGCCTTCCTATCAGTGGATTCCTGTTTTGTGTGTGTGTGTGTGTGTGCGTGTGTGTGGGCAAGGACCAAAAACCCTTGCAACAGGGTACCAGTGCAGGACGATACTGGGGTGGGTAGTGACCATACTCAGCCTGCTGGTGTACCGCCCGCATTTTATGGACCGTAAACTACTTTATGAGGACTCCTCACATGAAATGACCATCCGCATTTATTGTTTACAAGCAAGCATCTAAGCCACAGCTGTGTTTGCAGTGTGGACAGTGTCATCCTTTTTGTTTATTCGGAAAACAGACTACAGAAAAAACACCGAGGGAACAGTTAGACGTTTTTTACAAGCTTCCGTCTGCCTATTGTAGTCGCCTTTGTATTTAGAAATGTCGGAAGCATTCTGTACGTTTGATAACAAAATGCTTGACATAATACTTTTTCTTTCTGCAGTTTTGTACTCAGGCGTTTTTGTATAAGTAAAAAGTAATTACTATTGACCTCAGAATATCTCCTCATATCAAGTGCACATGGCTTCAAAATGGCCTGAAAATGCCCATGATATTGGTCAGATTTCAAAAATATTTGGGGGGACACCCAGCGCCTCCCCCACCCCCTCATCCCCAGCTGGGTGGGCTCTCTCTGCTCGCCCTAGTCCCCGACCCAAAACTTTTTGGACTCCCCCTTTGATGTTCCTGGATCCGCCCCTACAGTATATATATATATATATATATATATATATATATATATATATATATATATATATATATATATATATATATATATAATACAAGACTGAGTTAGTTTCTTCTCGCTTATCAAACCTGGCCAGCAAAACCGTATTTACTTATGTCCGGAGCGACCCGCATCTCGCTGGCTAAATCAGCAGTTTAACACGTAGACCCGCTGACCCACTAGTTTAGCGCTAATACTGGCCAACCGTGTTTCCCCTGCACATTAGTATTCGTGATATACTCCTGTGCTGGCTGTCACATTGTATTTCATAAATGCATAAAATTGCGTCTCAATGTGCGGAGGCTTAGGGAAGGGCCACCACACGCCCCGGCAGGATTACAGTCTTCATGTATTCACCCACACGAGGCTGAACCCTCGGGGACCAGCGTGTTAAAAGGTAAGACTTGGACCTGTGTTTATATCTGAATAACCAATAATACGAGTTAGTGAGAGTGGCCATTGATAACCCGCTTTTGATATGCGAGTGACCAATAATAATTAAGCTTTTGTATCTGAATAAACCAATAATAACCCGCTGTTTATGTCCGAGTGACCACCCATACAAACTGTTAATATTTAGTCTGACCAATGACGGCCGTTTTATACCAGATTGACCACCAGTAATATTTAAGTGTATCACCCGCCGCTCGACCAATAACAACCCAGTTTATATATTCTTGCTAGCCCAAACAATATACCAGAAAGTATTTTATTTCCCTTTTGGATTTTAGCTACATTTACCGAGATTAATACGAGGAACTGAGGGTAGTCAACCAGTAGAGACCCTGTGACTCAAAAAACAATATCGCTTGTAGGAAATTGAGGATAATATTTACAAAAACTAATAAAAAAGCACACACACACACACACACACACACACACACACACACATCCTCACAAACACAGATTACGGGGTTAATATAATGAGATTCTTCCCAGTGTTTTGAGGTCGTTTTTCACAAATAAGGAAGGTCGATGAGATGGCTAAATATAACTTAGCTAAATTCACCTTGTTGCCAGATCTCCTCCCACCCGCTCGATGAAGTTGAGTTAAATAAAGACCTGGGGAAACATAATCAAGTAACCGCTCTAGAGTTGGCAACTGTGTGATGACAGAAAGTTCAAGATGCAATTGTGTGTGTGTGTGTGTATGTGTGTGTGTGTGTGTGTGTGTGTGTGTTCGTGGAAGTAGACAGTGTACGTTTTTTTTAGGGGGAGGGATTCAAGTTAGCTTACATGTTGTGTTTGTGTGTGTATATTGGCTGTTTGTGTACTGTACGTTGTTGGTGTGTGTGTGTGGGGGGGGGGGTGAGTGTATTTGTTTGTATATTTACTTTGTTGGGATGTGTCTTTGTGTATTGTTTAAAATTTATAAATATGTTAATGATAATTTTTGTGTTCATGTCCGTTATTAAGAATCTTGGTGTGTTCATGTCCGTTATTAAGAATCTTGGTGTGCCCATGTCCGTTATTAAGAATCTTGATGTATGCATGTATACGTTATTAAGAATCACGGTGTGTATGTATGTGTACGATACCAAGAATCAAAACTCACCATATAAGTTATAAAGAATCAAGGGCTTGTACTGTACGTGTCTTTTAAACAGAATCACAGGCTTTTACTCCCCTTGTTTACATTATTCAGAATCAAGGTGCGACAATAAGAACCATCATTAACACAGGCTAACACTCGGGAAACACCAGCCTCAAGTATTAGCTACAGTGTACAAAAATAGCTCCTCTTAATCTGCTATGGCTGATGTCAACCCAACTTGGCATATGTTTACAAGACCCATCTCAGTGTGTCTCCAGAAACCTGATGTTATGGTGCTCAGTCGTATTATCTAGGTCGATTTCAATTAAATTTATCAATCACTGTCGAGCTTTGGGTTGCATGGAGTCGAGGGAGTGTGTGTGTGTGTGTGTGTGTGTGTGTGTGTGTGTGTGTGTGTGTGTGTTCTGGATGTCAGTGGGAGTGAGTGACCTTTCTCTGGTTAACTATATTCAAAGGTTATTGGGATGTGATCTATATGAATTTAGCTTGTTGGTACCCTAGGCAAGTTGTCAGGTTAATTAATTGGCTAGTAGGTAATTAGTTCAGAGGTCTTTAAGTATCGTAGACAGTTTGTGAACGTTGAGAATATTATTATTTTTTATTATTTTATTGATGTTTATTTAGTCTTAGAACAACCCGCAAAATGCTTATGGTGACGAATTTCAGTCTCGTTTATAGTACATTAATCTCCATGCTCGGCCTTGTGAGATATTCCATACTGGTAAAGAAAATGAATGAAACAAAATATAAAAATATAACAAAAAGAGACAGAGGTAAGAGAACACACACACACACACACACACACACACACACACACACACACACACACACACACACACACACACACACAGCTATTTGCTTTACTACCAAACAACAACACTCTGTTCCTCTCTCGTGATGTGGATAAACATCATTTATATTCCAAACTTGATGTTAAAGTGATAATCCCTGCTCTCTCTATGTCCAGCCGTTTCTAAAGAAGGTAACAATACGGTTTTATCCAATAATATGTACGTACACCAATGAGATAACGGAACGAAAGAAGGATGAAAGTATATTTATGAGTCCCTCTACCACGTACAGTTTTCAGAAAGATTTATAATGTTGGTTAGTCTTGTGTGTGGTATTCTTCATATAACAAGAGAAATGCTCGTCATTCCTCTGTTTACAGGAGGCTGCCTTCACCCCACCTCCCTGACCGGGTGTGTTATGTAATGGAGTGTGTTGAGGTAGAGTTGACAGGTTTGGGATGAGATGGACCAGCTTGCTTGGTATAGACAGGCTAATACATAATCAGTTATTTTCTGTAATATCGTGATGTTTATTTTGAATGTCATATCTCCATGTAAGTTTGTGTAATAAGTCCCACCTTTCAATCACTATTTCTCCAGTTAAAACAGTTGCATATAAGAAGACTTGATAAATGTTTGCCAGTGATTCTGCTTCGTGAGTGTTGAAAGTTTCCTGAAAGTAAAATTGATTTGACCTGTCATAAGTAAGTGAAAAAGGAAGGAGAAAATGTAGTAGATCATTGGTGTGAAGTTTTTGAAATTGTTAAAAGTGGTATGAGCGTAAGGGAAGACTTTGTTGCACACTTACACTGGTCTAGATTGTAAGCATTATCAGTGTGTTCTTCAACATCGTAATGAAAGTCACATGCTTTCAGACGACACTTACCTCCGACCAGACACAAAGCCGCCAAAATTAGGAAGGGGTAGAGGTATGGTAGAAAACGACACATTTTTGCGTTTTTCTCTCCTTTTTAATAACCAAAGCTTTTTTCATTTTTTGCAAGAATATATATATTTATATATATACACCTTCTGGCACGAAACACATTTTCTACTTTAATCTATTGAATCTAAAATGAATGTTTAATTCCCTATGTAAATAATCTCTTTTTGACTTTTCAACTTGTACCTAAATCCTGTTGTAATACTTGGGATAACTTTTTCAACTGCTGTAACTCACACAAAAAAAGTGAAAATTACCACGAATTTGGAAAGCTAGTGCATGCCCCACATATTTCACACAAAACTCAAACCTGTACTGTAAGAGTATTTTGGTAACATAGTCAAGTAAAATAGATATTTTTTTATCGTACTTGTACTGTACAGTCGCCATCCTCTTTTTTTTTACTATTAATTTTTTTTTTTTACTTTGTATATTGTGTATTCATGTAATGATATGTGTAAGATCCGTTGTAATGTACATATTTACACGTATAACCGCATGGACAACATGGTGTTATGAAGTACTTGGCGATTATGATGATAGCGTTTTCCTCTTTCAGAAAAGTCAGTCTCGTTTGAAAAATCCGTGTCATTCAGTGACGACCTTCCAGATTTGAGTACGCCGCCTAAGCAACATGTCCCTGCAGGTAATAGTTTCCCCAAGTTAACCCTTAAAGCGTCTCCGTTTTCTTTCTATCTTGATGTTATTCCAATTTTTCCGGAATATTTATTTTTTTACAAATGCTAATGGAAAGACAATGCGCGTGTTGTATACAGTGAGAGAATCATGTATTGTCTTGTATTCTGTGATTATTTTTACATTTTCCATGGCATTTGGTGTATGTTTCATCTGTGTTCGTCCTGAAATCATTACAAAAGTAGATGGATTAAGCTTGGAGTGCCTTAATTATTTTTTGTGTTGAAGCATGGAGAATGGACAGGGATTTGTGTGGTTTGACTTCAATAATATCCTTTTTTATATTATATTTTTCCCCATAGTAATGATAGCAGTAACATTCCTAGCCATTCACATAGTACGTACTGTAATAGGGAGCATTTAAGAAATTCTAACAATACTGCTTGTTTTCTTATATGCTTACTTTACCCATTTTCTTTGACTAATGTGTTTTCTATGACTGTAGCCGAGAAACAGCCTATCAAGCCAGCCATCAAGTGCTCCACCCTACCCCGGATGTCTTCCCAAGGTGAGTTGTGTGGGTCCTTGTGTTATAATTGACAACCTTATAAAAACCTCAATTTAATCTCTATTGTCACATTTCATCAAGTGACTTCTATTACTGTAAATATAATTGCGTTGAACCGCATGAGTTTCAATTCATTTTTATTATTTTAAAGAGGCATGTTGCACAGTTGCAGTAATCATTCATTTTTGCATTTGTAACTGCTTGTTTAAACAAGATGAATATCTTTACAAAATACAAGAAATATGCTGATAAACCGTTGATTATTACAATGGAACTGATTGTTGATAGAGAAAGTGGTATTCAATATAAATTGGTTGATGAACTCAAACTCTCCTCAGAGTCAACAGTAGATAATGAGAACCTGTGAGGCAGGGAACGTATCTTGCATGCTTCATGGATGAAAATTGTGTTTTCTGGATGGAAAACGGACCTCACCCATGAACTAAATACTGTAATAAGAATTTCAGTAATATAAGGTGCAGATGTGTCTTATAACCATTAACGTGTGTAGATTAAATGAACACTGTGTTTAGCTGATGATTTCACTCAAAACAGAATTTATTTGTTTTATGTTTGATTTTGTTAAATTATTATCAGTTTTGAAATTTATTTAAATTATCACACACCAAATTTCACTGTTTTCTAACTGTGCGAAAACACATTTTCAGATAATTATACAATACAGTAGTGTAAGTTTGTTGATGAGTACGATGAGTGGCGTGATATAGATAGACGTGAAATAAGGGTTAAGTAAAGTAATAGGTTGGATGCTCATAGAAGTGCATGAAGTAATTTGTCATTATAATCAAGTAATAATACACTGAAGATAAGAGCATGTCAATTGATTTTCCAGTGTTACATTAAGTATATTTTATTTTATCATTCCAAAGCTTTCCATCTAGTTTCCTCATCTCTCACCTGTTTATTATGTTTATTTTTCGTTTTTTCCTGCCTTGTGTTTGTGAAGTCCCACCTGCACATGCCTGGCTCTCCCCTCCAGTGCGCAGGCGCGAACCCAGACGCCCCATGACGTCATTGTCAGGTGTGATGCTGCCTTATTTTGTTGTGTCCTTAGTTTTAGATTTTTGTTTGTATTCTTTCTTCTGCCTGTCATGTTACCATATTATTTTATTTTTTAAGTCTTGACTTGAGTAAAGGAAGACAAACATCTATACAGTAATACGATTCATCAGCTCATAACAAACTTTTGTAGCAAAATTCCTTTTGCATTGTTACAGGAAAGTAAACTGAAAGATTGATTCAGTTGAAACCGTGAACACTGTTGTCTTAAATCGTTGATACTCAGCTATACAGTATAAGTCAATTTAATTATCCTGATAGCTCGAAATGAAAAAAGGTGATCATGGCCCCCTAAAAAATTATATTGAGATGTTTAAGTGTCCAAATGACCATTTTATGAAGTGAGAGCTGCCAGGCTGCTGTGTTTGAGAAAGGGAGTTGGATGTTTTTTGAGATTACCGTCAGTAAATACAATTGACTAAGTTTGTTTCATAGTTAAGCAGGCGTTGTTTCTTTAACAAGTACTGGAAGTTGTCCCAAATGGACATGGTGTGTCGCAGCAGTTGTCTTACACACCATCGTGGACTACACCAACACCTGTGTGATGCTACAGGCAACGAAGATCTATTAAGATCTGTCCACATGTAGCAGTCCTACCAACTATCACAGTTCTTACAAGGTGATTGGTTGTTGAGTAAATCATGTCATTATATCAGCAAAGTCTCCACCACTTATATTAGCTGAAAGAACTTGTGGGAATTTGCCAATATGATGGTATAGTAGATGACCTAACAACCAGCAACTAAGCAACTTAAATGAACTGTGAGAGTTGTTGAGGATGCCAAAACATGATGGAGCTGAGTTGAGTTGATAGTTGAGTTACACAAGTCAAAAACTGTGATAAGTTGAGGTTATTACTAAAAACTCCTCAACTCATTCCAGACATCTGCTTACTGACAGTATCTGAAGCACCAATACCTTAAGAACTGTGATAATAATTGAATGGTGGGAGACAGATAGGCCTAAGGATCATAAGGACCAGAAATAGAACATATATATACAGTATTAGGTCCCATTTACAGACAACTTTTAATCCTTGAGAGCAACTTTTTCACCACAGTAACTTCATGAGTAAATTTATCATTATTGAGGCATTTGGAAGATATTATACATGTTTCTGCCAACTTTACAGGTATTTCATGTTTCTCAATTACAGGTAGAGATAGATTGATGGATGTGTGTCTGACAGAGTAATAATGTTCGTAGTTATCTGTCTGGGATGAACACTGATTATTACAGAGTCCTGGTGTCTATACAGTGGTGTCTTAGTGTAGTTTTCTCAGTGTGCACATAGCTGTATATTCCTCTGGTATGTTGGAGGAGTAGGTGGATGATAGGAGGGGAAGATAAGAACCAGGAATAAACAGAGATGGTGGCAGCAAGGAAGAGGGGGGACTGATGGGTGATGCTGGCTTGTGTGAAGTGACAGGTAAAGCAATTTTGAGACAACATATATTTTACAGCAGCGAATATAAATGATTGACAATGAATTAAGGGAAAAAATTTATATTTGTTACTGGACTAAATATATATACTTTTGGGAAGGAAGATATTCACCTAGAACCCATATAATGAAATGACACTTCAATATATAACGTAGCACTGCCGCCTCACTCTGGTGTACAGGTTATCGATAATACTCTACACTGGTACCTGTAATATTAGTACAGTATCCAAGATCACTGTTGGTCAGGTGTCAGGAAGTGAAGGAACACAACTCATTACAATGCTACACTGAATGAAGCATAACGGATAATTAAATTCGATATACTGCAGTGTGCTGAATTTACAATACAGTTAATGGATAGTATATTGTGTGTACAGTATTAGTTAAATAGTGTTTTACATAATATGAATAATAGTATATGGCTGCTATATTCATGTTAGAAGTATAGTTACGGGTATATACAGAATATCATGAATACCATGGATAAATCTTAAATGTATTAGATGGATTAAGAAAGGATAATATAAGATTCACTTTTAGCCAGATTAGTGGAGGTTGTAAAATGATCCTGTGTTGTGATTGTATGATGCTTTGCAGTAGTCAGGGCTCCCACAACTTTCCTCCTCCATTTACGAAGGCCCACAACCTTCCCACACATCCCCTTCTTCACAACTTGGATACAGTCATAATCATAGGATGTCCAGTGTATGTAAACAAAGGCAAGTCTGGATAATTTAGGAGACTGGATATTTGAGGTGTCAGTAAACAAAAATATTACCATACTAATATTGTTTGCTTACAGTTTGCGATATATATAATCAGAGACTGTGAATGATACAGGTTAAGTCTGGTAAAATAAACAGAAGTTGTCAATATGAGTAATTTAAGGTTTAGAGTGATAGTTTCTGGCTACTCATGTGTATGGGTCACGTAGACAATGATAAGTAGAAGAGATTTATGGAATTATTTTGCCCGTATCACCCATGTGTGTGTGTGTGTGTGTGTGCGTGTGTGTGTGTGTGTGTGTGTGTTCACTGTTCTGCACCAACTCTTTTATCAGTGTGTTATGTAGGAACTTTTCACTTGTGTGTTTTAAGGTTTTTCTCTGTTTTTTTTTAAGGATCACACATTAATTTGAGTTAATTTATATAGTTGATGGTGCTTATAACTACTCCGGACTTGGGGAAGTTTTATATCTTTGTGTTGGAATAAGTAGACAGTATTAAGACTCCCTTTATAAAAAACTTCAACTGGTTTTCATACTGTTGCCAGCATTATCCATCTTTGTTCTGATACATCTGTTAGCATAAATGCTGTACACTGCATCATTAATTTAAGAAAAATTGAATATCGGAGATTTTTATATTAATTTATTTTAGTATTTTAAAAGTGTTTTGACTGTCAATATAATGAAGATCACAGGAAGGCCACAAGTGCAACATAATGACACCACTGTGTTAATGATGGAGTCTTGTGTGGAGACTTAAAATGGGGGGTTGATATAACCAACTTCTTCAAATAATTTGTGAAAGTAAAAGAAAAAAAAAAGATTTTCTCATCAATAATACGGTACAGCTTTCATTACACAAGATAGTGGTATGAATCATCATACCACTAATGTATTGTGAAGTTATTAAGTTGGGTAGAATTAGTGGATTATAATGGAAGTTGCAGCTCTTAGTTGTTTTGCAGAATTAAAATGTTGACATTTTATTCTGATAAGCATTGCAGTGCTACAATATTGATCTTGAATGTCTCACTTATTGATGAGTGTTGGAAGGATTAAGAATTGACAGTTTTCCCCTGAACACTGATAAGTGTTACACTTCGTTTCTGTATAAAGCTTTCATGGTACATGATTGAAAGCCAAGCAAGACTTGAGTAGTGACTTATTGTACAGTATTACACTTGAGGTGTATTACACTGTTCACATATGATTTATGTTATTCAGAGTGATTTAGTTATTTGTTCCTCAGTATATTGATTTATTTAGTTCTGCTCTCACAGCACAAGCTTCCCTCACAATGTTACTGTAAAAATCACCATAATAGATATGGAGCAGTCTTAGATGGCTGGTTCGAGAAAACACAGAGTTGTGATTATTGCAGTAGAAGAAAGTATTTCACTCATAAGAGAGAGAAGCATCTCACCAACACCTACTACCCAGCAGGGGTTAAGGTCTAGCACATTTCTATTCTCTATCATCTAGGTCTAGATGCAGTGCTTGCATAGCAAACAAGCAGAAAAACTAAGTTGATAGATGTAGCATTAGTTAGATATTCTTATGAATGATAATGTAGTGTATAAGACCTACCAGGTGCTATTAACTGACCCCCATAACAACCATCCGTGTTGCAAGATACAGTCCCAATTATTTGTGTGTCCCCATCCACAAGCCTATAATTCTGAATTATCTGTAAATGGTTTCTTAAGGATTCTAGTAGACAGAGTACAGCTTAAAGCACAAGCAGCTCACAGACTTAGTCTTTAACTTAAATTCATATTATTTAACTGACTGGTAACTGAACATGCAAGGGGTGGTTTCAGAATTCGGTCTTGAGTTACAGGGTCTCATAAATTTTCAATTTGGCGGGCGATTTTGTGCTGTTGTTGCAGACTCGTTGAGAAATATTGCAGAGCCGTTGAGACCAAGCAAGCCCGCTCCTTCGTCTAAGCCACAACCGCCACCCAAACCACCCAATTTGATGCTCACTCGTCCATCTCTGTCGCTACAGAATTCGACAGGTACAGAGGCTACTGCCATGCATCTCAACCCACGCCCAGACTCAGCATTTGTTTTCCACTAGCACGCCCATGGAGAGATTACTTGTAGATTTTAAAGGATCACATTGATATGTTTTTTTTTTACTACTTCTCACACCTGCACTATCACCTTACACCTTCTCTTGATCCTCAGATTTCCTCACCTTATTTGCTACATGGTAACAGTTAACACTTACCTGTACTGCCACATTGTTACACACACACACAATTAAAAATATTTATATGCTTCACATTAACAATTAACACTCAATTGTAATGCCCTGTTAGTACTGTAAATACACACACACACACACACACATTACAGGTATTAGCCTAGATTAGACATGATGCAACCAATGCACAACAGTGTACATAGTACCTACCTAAGGGTGAGCTCTGCCTGTCATTTCCCAATTGTACATACAGTATATGCACACATTAGAGAGTTGCTTCTATTCTTCCTCTTCCTTGAACCTCTCTCAACTATGGACAGTATAAGTACAGTTTCTGGTAACCTTATTTAACTTTATTATAATCCCAAGATTAGTTCATAGTTTGACATTACCTTAAGGAAATCCCCATAACCTGTTGATCATCCTCGAATATATCTTACACACACACACACACACACACACACACACACACACACACACACACACACACACCTTCACCAGACTACATACAGTATATTAGTTTGTATATTCAGACATGGCCAGCTCATAGAGAGTTAGCACTGGACTGTAATACTTGGTTATTGTCTCAGACCTACATTGCCAGACACCAAACTATGACTCAGACCTGTTTAACGCCCTCATGCTGTTGTTTAGTCAATACCAAGGATTTGTATCTGGTTTCTATACCACTTAGTGTACCAAGTATCTCTTTAAAGCCTTCACCACCACCACCACACACTCAGCAATCATTGTAAGGCTCCCAAGCACTACACCACATAAGAGTCTCTATGGAGATAAAATTAGTGTATCGTATCTTTTACATTCTATGGTTAGTTGCTTATCATTGGCCAAAGATCTGAAAACTCTTTGCATTATCAGTGCTTGAGGTTGCCTATGTGCCTTCGCTTTCTTGCATGTTTTTAGTTCTCTTATTTTTTTTTCCTGGTTGCGTTGGACTCTTCAATGTTGAGGGCTATCTTACCGCACAATGTTGAGGGCTATCTTACCGCACAATGTTGAGGGCTATCTTACCGCACAATGTTGAAGGCTATCTTACCGCACAATGTTGAACTCACTATCTTAGAAGATTTCTTGCTAATTTCCCTCCCCCAGGCCTACACACTACAGCTCTGCAGCTAATCAACTCATGATATTTTTTCCCATACTGTGCTACCTCTTACCAAATTTAAATATAGTGTGGAGTACAACGCTGTTCTATTCATCACTTGTGCTTACCTTTTGACGTCCTTGTGAAACTTGAACTTATCTCCAGGTTTAGGGCATTCATTAATTAGATTAGTATTACGCCGGAACTTTCCCTTACTCTAAAACACAAGTAACCGCACCAATATGTAGTCATGAAAAAAAAGTCCTGTCAGTCGTCCATCCCATCCATGAACCCGAAGATTCACGAACCTGTGAATCCAAGACATCACACAGTGTGCCATCTATGAGACCAACAAAGTGTGAGTCTTGGATTCACAGGTTCATGAGTTTCAGACGATTGACAGGACTTTTTTCCGTGACTGTACATGTACTCTCGGTATTGTCCCTCCTCACACTTTCCCAGAACAACTCCCCTTAACTATTCACCTCTCTCCCCTCACACAGCTTATGGATCACTTCCTAGAAACAGGGCTCGAACAGTTTTCAATTTGTCCACCATGATTAAGCTATGCTACACATATTCATTCAGTGTTCCCCCACTTCACACAGTTTCTCATCCATATTAACAATCAACTTCCACAATTGTACAATATGACTTTTGTCTTTCACCTTCATTTATAAACCATTTTCACAACACCATTTTGGCTTACATAAGAGTTAAAAAGCTGTCAAGACCATTCACTAATATCTTATGCACTCCAGGAGTTAAAATTTTAAATGAAAAGGTAAATTCTCTCATTTAATCATGCACCTCGTGTAAATCCATAAATGAAGGTTGCATAAGACGAGTCAGTAGAAGGTGTGTAGAGGAGCACCAGATGATGGAGCAGTAGGTGATGGATTAAGATCAAGTAGAGAGGCAAGAGGTGTGGGTGTTGACCTGAACATGAGGAAATAGGAACACTGAATGCTAGAAAAACAAGATCAGAAAATATATTGAAAAAAAAATCTTCAACTTAACATATTGTAGAGAAAGAACTAGACAAAAAAAATTCTGCAAAATGTAGAATTAAAAGTAAAATTTGGGGAGTACTTCTTTCAGATGTTGTCCTCCATGCCTCTTTATTTACTAGTGAGTATTAGTCCTCTATACAGTATTTTAATCTATTGTTTCCTCGTCTTTACTTATATTCTCCCAGACTCATATTTCTTGTCTCCATATCTTGTTATTGTTGTTAGTTTTTTTCTTCATCCACCATTAGCTCATCCACCACTCTTGCCCTTTTTTTTTCAATTTCATCCACCAACTGTTTCTCTTCATTGGGTGTCGGTGATTCAGTTCCACCTGTGCCCCTTTCTTTTGTACTCTCTCCACCTCTCACCTCCTTCGACCTTTTCCTTGAACATTCTTCCATTTTTGGCCTCCCTGATTTTTCCTGACATCATTAAATATATCTAATTTCTTTACTCTTGTCGTTGCTGTTTCTGTCTGATCATTCTTCATATTAAAGCTTATTATTATTATTATAAACTAACTGATTCCATTAAGAGGATCCTTCAGGTATCTTCTATAACGAGCTCATTTGCATATTCCTGTCAAACTTTTCACTTTTTTTCAATTTTATCCTTTCTTTTTTAGTCATGCTTATAATATCTTTTTGATATCTACCACAGGTGTGTAGATGATACGATACGATAACTTAAATACATAACTAATAACATCATCTGAATTACTGTACTAACACATACTGTACTCTTTGTCAGTCTCACATGTACAGTATCTGCCCATCATCTTTAACTCATTCAGATCACTCATACTATTTAAGCCAGACTGTATATGTTTATTGACCTCTGTTGTTAAGAGCAGTATTGACAGCACTGACCTCTCCGTTGTGTCACGTCTTCATACTTTGACGTCTTGATCATATCTTTCTTCATTCTTCTACCACTTCCTCATCCAGTGTTATTTAATCCTCCCTTATTTTGTATACAGTTCACTTATATCACTACATGATTATACATATTAGTACTCCTTTCGACATACAGTACATTCAACATTATATCCTTACATTATAATATTATACTGTACAGTCACGGACAAAAGTACTTTCCCCGTGGTGAAACTGAATCATGGGAATGAGTCTTCGAACTGACTTACCCTGACTGTTTCATCTGGTGTGGCTGTGTTGTTTTATCTCTTCTGGCTTCAATGCTGCTTCACTTATGGAGGGAGTGATCTTTTAACCATGACTGTACACTAATACGAGAACTGTACACACTAATCTGCACTCCTATATATTCATACCAAGGTTCACATTTCATACTTAAATCTTTGAATACTTCTTTGTATATACAGATGATCAAGAAAAACTATACTACATCTTCAAATATAATTAGCTTTTGACATTTTTTACTAACTCGGTCATGATAGGTTTGTGTATATCAATACTTCAATATGTAAATCCTCTTGAGTACAGTACACAACTTGTCTCCAGCTTCATATCTCTAGGCTAGTAGTACTCTTAAGTCTCTTGTTTAGTTACATCATACAGTAGGTAGACAGAAGACATGCACAGGGTATGTTAAAATGTGTGGCAAGCCTTACAAGAAGAAAACCAATAGTGTACAGAAAAGCAAAATAAATATCCAGAGTACAGTCATGTCTTTTATGTAAATATTTTTGGCACAATAAACAGCTTTCACATTTATATCGATCTTGACTTCGATTTTTACCAATTACACCCTTACTTTACACATACCCAGATGTTATATAACCTCCTCGAGTTCATAATTGTATATACGGTAGATCAGTTCATAATGTCTCGTGGATTTTGCCAGAATGAAACTGATATAAATCCATTGATCATAAAGTGAGGTTAACTGAGACGAGACTTGAACATAATATGAATAGATATGTGACAAGATAGAATTATTTTGTATAAAAGTGAAGGAATGAATAGAAATGGTGAATAATAACACGAAGGAATCAAGTGGAGTGAGTAAAAATGAGTATATGTTAAGAATAGGTAGGAGGGAGGGGATGAATTACCCCTTTTCTCCTGTTCACTTACCTGGTTTGTGTGGGTGGTCGGCTCAGGTCAGGCTTCAAAAGGTCACAAAGAAAAAGACAGACAGGTTGTGCCGCCTCGTATTAAATTGTGTGGTGTGCTGCTGACATAACCTGATAAAATAATCCGCGTTGAGGTTAAATTAAATGAATTTCTGCTTTTCCTCATCTTATAATGTATACTACACTTATTTTCTTCGTTGCAAGGCTTGTTATAATACCACTTCCAATCTCACTTACTTGGTTTCAATATGCCAGACAGACAGACAGACAGACAGTTTACATATATAAATACATACTGTAGTAACATTCACTTTCATGGTACAAATTTATCTGTACTTTATGTCGTTATGATGGTACATGTTGGAACTATATTTTATGCAGCTATACATTAATTACATATTGCCATATCTTCTGATTATTTTCAACTCTTTCTCAACAGTATTCATTTTCCCATTTTGATTGACCCACTCACTGACTCCTCCTCTCTCTTCTCCTCCTCTCCTCCTCCTCCTCTCCTCTCCTCCTCTTCCTCTTCCCCTCCTCCTCCTCCTCCCCAACCCTCCAAATGTTCACATATAAAGAATATATATCTAAACATAGTGACACCTCCACCTAACTTAACAGAAATTGTA